CAAGAATCTCTGTTCAAGGTAGAGTTGTAAATTATTGTGGTAGATCTTGTTTTGTTTGAAATTGGATCCAGGTGAACCTTGGTTTGATTTCAAAGAAAGTCTTTTGCAGTCTCATATTAGTATGGACTCACAGAGGAGACAGAGGAAAGCTCCCTCCCCTCTTGCTCCATTACCCCAGCCTCTCCCCATCATTGCTGCTGGCTCCTGCTCCATCTGGGAGCAGGGAATAGATGTCCCAGCCAAGTGGACATATATCATCCACACTCCTTCCAAAGCACAAGGATGGTTGAAGTTGTGTAAGGCTGTGTGAAGCTTCAGAGTATTCTGGGCAGGATGCAGCATGGGAGAAGTGTCTTGGACATTTCAAGCCAGTCCAGAAACATGCTCAGCGACATCAGCAAATTGTATGAATGTACAAGGAGCAAATCCAGATCAACTCCAGAGTACAGCTGGACCAAAGCCAATTTGACACCAGTGCAGCCAAAATCAGGATCTGTCCCTAAGCTATTTATAACATAGCATGGCATTTGCCAACACAGGAGTCATAAATGCATAATTACTAAGTTCACACATTTAATAGCCCCAAAGCTGATGCTCTGGCACGAGACACCATTACATGACTCTGACTCCACAGTTATTGGCTTTGCAGGAAGTATTTCCTTCTCCCCTGGTACCAGTTAAAGTAATTGCACTGTCAATTAAATATCTGGAGGTGCTTTGTTCTACAGTCAAGGGTTGGGCTGCTCTGCTATTAGCAGCACTCACTCTAGACTAGACAGACCAGGCACAGGTGCATACATGTGGTAAGATGCTGCTTAGAAACTAATCCCTTCCTACAATTAATTAAGTCCTCCAACTTCAGTCACCTGACTTCAGGTGGCTACTCAAGGGGAAGTGAAAGACCATGTACTACTTGTTGATAAAGCCTGGAGGGTTGAGATGGTGACCTCCCTGTACTGCGCAATGGCCTCCTACTTCAGGAGAAGGGGAGATACTCTTGTTTGTGTTATTACTGGACACCTGATTATTTTCTGCTCAGGATGTAATCTTGCATCTTTACAGCATAAAAAACACCCCTACGGTTAGGAGCCAGCCTTGCTGAAGCACTGTACACAGCTTGCATGCTCTATTTAAGATGGCTGTGAAAAGTCAAACCGCAAATCCAGGGCACCATCACTGCACTGCCAGTCTGAGTTCTGCACAGGGATTTCAGACGATATGCACCTCCCCAAGGTTTTTTTCCCCCACAGAAATGCAAGCCCCATGTACAAAAGACAGCTCAGGCTGAGCCATGCCATGGGAGCTGAGGTTTAAACAAGCCTAGACGCAGCCTGGAGAACCATGCTGATCTCTCTGGTGGTGTCTCAAAAGCCTGCATGTAAGACTGGGAGCCATGGAGGCTGAGGTCTATGAACAGTGCCAGGGAGTCACAACCTCATGGAGGGCAGCCAGCAAATGGCTGGCACTGCTGACGTTTGAGAAACCACAGCAATCAGATTTGCTGGAGCTCACCCATCAGTCCCTTTTACACTGCAATTTGTTCGCTGTCAGCCTGACAATTAAATAGATGCCTGAGTTTGTGTTTTGTCCCACGGGTCTGCTGTCACTTAGGAGGTTAGGTAACAACAGTTGTGTGGTGCTTCTTACCCAAAGCAGTGTCCCACAGTCCGTCCACTGTGCTGCTGCAGAATCAGACCCACAGCACAGGTAAAGGTCACAAGATATCATTAACCAGCTCCTAAAGCAAACGCATTTTCAGGATCCCAGCACAGAAACCTGCAGGAATTGCAAGCACTTTGTCATATTTGTTCCTGATAACAGCTCCACTCCAAAGTGTCCCCAGTGAATCCCTGGAAACTCAGGGGTAAGAGAAGTTATCCAAGAGCAGAGATGGGGCACACACAGCTAGGAAAGGAGACTGTCCTCAGTCTCTTGAAGTGGACACTAAATTGCACCCAGAAATCCTCCATGAATTACTGAGTTAAATTTAGCTAAAATGTTTTCAAAAAGAGCAGAAAAACCTTGTCCATAAGATGTACAAAGAGGATTTTTTTCCTCTGATGCCAGTAGAGCAACAATACTACACTCTTCAGAGCCCCTCTACACTGGTCAGGCCAAGTAAGGTGCAGAGGTACAGATCCACCACGCCAGCATGATCAGCTTTACACTAACACAGCATTTCAACACAAGCACAGGGGAGAAATGCTGACAGGCTTGAAGGGGACTGGACACAAAACAGAAAGAGAGTAAAAAAACTGCTTTCAAGTTCAAGCTTTTACTGACCGGATGATCCTCTTGCCACAGAGGACAGAATGATTTACACATGAAGTGATACGAGAATAAAAGACAGTCCCATTAAAGACAAATTTGCTGTGCAATTTCCTGTAACTTGGAAAAATAGTGCTGAAGAAACTCCTGGGATGCTCAGTCTCCCCTCTGCCCTGAGACATCTCCTGCTGCACCATGAAAGATTGGCTCCCAGCTCCTTCCTGTGCAGACATGGAATGCTTGTGCCTACTCACTGCCATGCTGAGCATCACTGTAAGTGGCATCTGTTGGATGCTTTTAAGCTGTGAATTGATGAAGGGAAATGTACGACCCACATCTCAAGCCTAGGGAGTGGGTGATAGACTCAGAACCCTTTGATACAGTCATTACCCTCACTAAAGGGAAATTAACAGGTCTTCCTGAAATCCTTACAGGACAGATAGTCACAATAGTCATGACACTAAAAAGCACTGCAAGAGAAACCTTCAAAATTAGCAGCACAGGAAGACTGGAAGGGAGGTTTATTTTTCCAGCTGTATTCAGGAAGGCCTATCCAGGACAGAGCTAAATCACCCTGGCTTTTCACCCTTTTGCCTTGATTGTAACTGTTTGGAAGATAAACACTAGCCTATATTTAGCACTGGCATCTCCCATGTTATTCACTCTGAAATGGAGAAGAAAAATGTTAACAAAGAACAGTTGAAGAGAAACTTATTTATTCAGCCTAACGACTGGAATATGCCATTTGCTCCAAAGATTATGCTACAACAAATTCTCAAATCCTCTTTGTCCTCTGTGTTAACACCCACATTTGTCTTTTGAAGCAGGCGTATTTTCCCCCTTCCAGGAAGCGAGTATCCAATGCTCCACTGCTGGCTGGTGCAGCACAACCTCCTGTGCCTCCTGTGTGGTGGTACCACAGCTGCAGGATGAAGCAGGGATGGGAAGGGCTAGTAATCCCAGGTGCTGAACAGAAATCATGAGCATGGACAAGGATCATGCACTCACAGCCTCTTGAAGCTACAACACACTTTGTGTGTCACAGGGATTTGTACCAGAGGTGAAAGCAAAAGGAGACTGAAAAGTAGCCTAAAACCTGCAGTATGGAAAAGATGCTATTCAACCTCTGGAAATCTTATGGAGCTCATTAGCTCACTGCATACATTATGCAACATTTAGGCACATGGCTAAATGTTCCCACAGATGTTGCAAACCCTTCCACAACCCCAAAACTCCCAAAATTGTAACAACATTGGGAATTTGTTGAGGAAAATAAGCCCAGCTGCTGGTAATTGATTATGTCTTACTGATTCCAGTTTGCCTGTCTGACTGAAAGCTGTTCTGGAGGTCAAGTTGCTTTGCTTTGTGCATAGATATTGTGTATATATGTACTGCATCTACAGAGAAAGCAATCATCACGGTCTAACGGCAAAGGGAGACAAGCTGTTTCACAGACTGCATACAGGAAGACAGATAGGGTAATTTAATGCTTTTTTTACAAGGAGGTTGAGTCAGAGTCCAGATTTGTTTCCTTACCTGCTGAATTCCATGCACAACCCTCCCCTGGTGCTGGAGGTCAGATGGCTCTCCTACTGCAAGGGAGCTTTAAAACTCTTCCTGTAGTTGGTGAAGGACTTGTTCAAAACCAAGCCACCCCCCATGCCCTCTAATTTTTTTCAGCTTTAAACTAGAGAGAGACAGGCTTCAGTTGTGCCAGAGCTGGCAGCCACCGCCAGGTTTCTTGCTCAAGTCATCTGCTTTCTCCAGTGCCCAGAGGGTACAACTCTGTGGTTGCAGTCCTAACTAGGCATCCTGTTCTCCTGCACCATGTCCATCTTCTTCCCTCTGCTCCAGCCCTTACCTCTCTCTTTTGATCAGTATGATTGCGCTTCAAGTCAGGACATAAAAGATGTAACTCCCAAAAAATCATACCAGAGAAATATTAGTTAGAGGCTACAGCTCAGTATCATCTAATACCTGCTAACTGCCAGAGGCTTGCCCTGAAGAAAGATGCTCCCACGGGATCACAATATTAGCACAAGAATATTTCAAGAGAATGGAAAAAATACAGTGAGAATATTTTCAGCCCAGGAATTTGCTTTTCATTCTGCAGAGAACTTCAGATGCTCCTCAGCAAATACGCCATAGACAGAGAAAATCTTACATACACCTGCACACACACACACAGACACACATGCAGAAGCCTCACAGAAACTTCAGTCCTATAACAATTAAAATCCCTATGCTTTTTAACTCCAAGAGAAGCATGACCACATAGTACCACTTGCTCTAGTAAATAAAATCACATTCTGCCCAATTACTAAACCTGCAGCACTAAATAATTCAGAAGGGGAAGGGGAGAAGAGACAAAAACAACTTGCATGAGAACAGAAAGTATATATGCACTTTTGTGAATGCAGGAGGCTTGCCCAGTTGCATTAAGGTTCTCAGACACAACCAGTTACAAACACTCCTCAAACATCAATTCAGGTTAACATAAAGATCTCAAAGAAGCAAAAAAAAGTTGTCTAAAATCCAGCTAACTTGATTTTTGTCTCAGCAGCTTATACCTGACAGTACAGACTGTAAAACCACTCTGAGCAGCATCCCCGAGGAAAGCACTGCTGGTTCCCTACTAGCTACCGACAGCATTTAAATTCCTTTAGCCTACAAAGGGGAAAGGCAGCTGAAGGAGGAGAGTTGGATCACCCAAACAAGGACAGCCCGATAAGTACTGTGCAAATATATCGGATTTTATTACTCCTTTATGGAAATGATAACAGACATTCAGGTAGAAACATATTAAATTAATGCAGTCAACAGTTTAAATGCAAAAATAAATATAAAGTCCAGCAGCTCAATGCATCTAAAACAGCTATTTTCTTCTAACGAATAGAAAAGATTTCTTTTTTTTTTTTGTCTTTTAAATGGAGAGTTTCATACAATCAAATAGAAACGAAGGTACAAGCGCTTTCTTAGAAAACATCCCAACGCGGCCGCCCGCTTCGGGCGCTCTTGGGCCTGCGGCGGGGCAGCTCCCTGCAGCCCAGTCCGTGCCGCCGCCGCCGGCCGCGTCCCGCCAGGTCCCGCCGAGCCGGGCGGGGTCCCGCCGGCCCCCACTGCCCTCAGAGGGCCGAGTCCGAGTCGCTGGAGTCGAGGCTGTTGCGGAGGCGGCAGCTGCCCAGGCGGTCCCGCTGGATACTGAGGTTCTGGGTGCTCCGCCGCAGACACTCCAGCGACTGCAGGAAAGACTTCTTGGCCTTCTCCTCCTCCATAGGGGACACCCCCTCCTCCTCGACCTCCTGGATCTCGTCGAAAGTCACCGGCTGCGTCTTGAAGCGCGACTGCCGCGGCCGCCGCAGTTTGCCCCTGGGGGCCTTGGCGGGGCGGGCGGGCGGCGGGAACTCCTCGGCCACGCACACGAAGTGGGGCATCACCGCCTGGTAGCTGGAGCAGATGCCCATCAGCTCGGCCGGCTTCGCGGCCATCCTGCCGCCCGCGGGAGCGCCCGCCGCGGGGGCCGGGGCCGGCGGAGCGGGGCTCGCTGCCTCGGCCGTGCCGGGCGCCGGGGCTCCGGTGGGCAGCGGTGGCCGGGCAGGGACGGGCCCCGCGGAGCGGTGCGGTACCGCGCGGAGCAGGGCTGTCCGGAGAGGCGCGGTGGGCAGCGGAGTGCGGTGCAGTGAGATACGGAGTGCGGTGCGGAGCGCGGTGCCGAGATGCGCGGTGCCGAGATGCGCGGTGCCGAGATGCGCGGTGCCGAGATGCGCGGTGCGGTACCGTCCGGTGCGGAGCGGAGCGATGCCAAGAGGCGCGGTGCGGGGCGATGCAGAGGCGCAGTGCGATGTTCCCCCAGTGCCTCAGCGGAGCCGCTGCCGCTGCCGCCGGGGCTCGGCAATGTTATATAGCCGGCGGTGCCCCGCGGGAGCATGCTCAGACAGTAGCATGCTCACGCGGCAGCACGCCCAGACGGCAGCGGAGCCCACTCGCGGCCAGCCCGGCGCTCCCTCCTGCCTGACGTGTCCCCGCACCGCAGTTCCCGCGCCGCCGCCCCCGCCCGCCGCGTCCCCTGGAAGCGGGGGAGCCACCGGAGTAGCCTTGGCGCTCCATCCTATCTCCCCTTCCCGTTCCCTCTCCCCGCCCGAGGGTACGCTCCCTCCTTTCCCCCGGGCTCCGGACCCCTCTCCTCAGGGCATCCCTCTCCTGCCTCGCGACGCCCAGTGGAGCTTCAGCTGGATCCCGGACATCCACGGCGGTAGTTCAGCTTTCTGCATCTCACCTCGCAGCTGTTTTGTTTTGTTTTTAATCAATACCATGATTTCTATGGCCGTGAAAGAGTACCAACAGACTCGTCACATCAGCTTTCAGCTGATCATCGACGTCAGAGTAACGTACCCATAGTTAAAGGAACCCCCAAGTCAAGCCCAAATCTGAATACCCTAATGGTACAGTGACCCAGATCTAAACTACACAGATCACACAGGATGGTCCCAGGCAAGATACATCAGCTGCTGAGAGTTAAGCAGGACTCGGGGATCTTGTTCCCAATTCTGCCACCTCTAACATAGCTTTAACACCTGCTTCAGTGTGACTCCATTTTTTTCCTTTTAGAAGGGATCTTAACATTTCCCATTCCCCTGTGGGCTCTCTTCTTCAATAGGATGCAGAATCAGATTCTCAGACCGAAAATGGCATACAAGTATTACTGAGCTGAAACAAAGGCTTGCAAATTAGTGACGGCTGGAACCACACTCTAAAGCTGTGTGTGCCAAGGACTCTCAGTGATGGAAAAACCCAACAACGTAAGAAAAATATTTGATGGGAATAGGAAAGGACCCAGAGGGAAGCAGAGTAGAAAAGTATGAAGGAGGAAGAGCCTGAAATGGTAAGTCTGTCTCCTCTTCAGGGTTAATGTTAGACTATTCCCATAAAAACATTCTCCAGGATAGCTTCACCCACTCGAGGATATTTTTAAAGCTTAGTTAGGAACTGGGAAGGAAGCAGAGGCTTAGCAACGTTATCAGAAATCCTGGTCTGTGCTGCCAAGGGGACAAGGACGACACACTCAGGGCCCTGGGGTTTGCCGAGCAGTCAGTCAGTGTTCAGTTGCACACACAGCACATCACTGCAGTGGGGAGGTACTCGGGGCATTGCCAGTACCAGTTAGCCCACAGAGGGATCTACACACACTTACTCCAGCAGCCCTGAGTCCTATGACCAAGCTGCAGACAGTGCGAGTTTGTTGTGTTTTGCCATAAAATAAGTTGTTTGTGCCAAGAAAGACAAACAGTCTGAAAAAAACCCAAAAGATTACATACAGCATACACATTCTGTGCCATAGTCCAGCACACAGAAATGGCCTTATTTTTGTGAGTTCACCATCAGAAAGTCTCAACGTTGTCTTTGGGTAAGGCTTGGGACTGGTCCTTCCTCTTTTCAAACTGCCTTAGCAGTGGCAATATTTTGGGACCTGCACTGGAAACAAATCCCTGTAAATTACAGCCCTGTCTCAAATGGAATAAAATGAAACAAGAATACAGTTTAAGGAGAGAAGAGAGCAGAAGCATTCACTAGTGTATTTCCAGAAGGCTGACTGCTTTGCCCCTTGCCAGTGTAAAAGAAACATTAAGAGACTTGGCTTTATGAAATACCTGGCTGCAATCTCTTGGCTTCCTGGCTCCCCAAGGCAGCTTTAGGGCCAGGTTCAGTTTGAAGCCTTTTTGTTGGAAGATACAATTAGCTTAATAAGGGAATAATTTTCTTTTTGGTCAAATTGAATCATTCCAGCTTGCAGAAGGCTGTGTTTTTGCTGTTGATTTTAATGGCTAAATTTAGCCCATACAGCCCTGCTGCTGTACAATAACGTTCTCTCAAAGAGCTCCATTTACAACTGCTTTAATTCCTCACAACTTGATTCTGCAGCACGGTGAGGGCCAAACTGTTTCCTCAGTACAGCTCTCCAAGAAGACAAGCCTGATGACCAGTTTGTAGGCCTTCTGGGGCTGAGCATGTCTATCCTGCAGAAATGAGATGACACAGGAGCCTTGTTCTGTCAGAAAAGCATCTCACATTCATTTGAAGCAAGGTAAATTTAATCTGCTCCAGCCCAAAAGGATCCAAAGTTCAGCCAAAAAAAGGCTGGTTGACTTGATATCTGAAATTCAACACGTGTCCCCAGTCCCAACTGCCTGTCTGGTTTCCTGCAGAAAGTTCAGTATGAAGGCAAACTCAAGTAGAGCAAACATTTGATCCCTCACAAATATGATTATAAAATGCTCTGGGAAATTTCAGTGCTGAGTTGGAGCAAGATCACCATGGTAATAACCGGGAGGCCTTGAAGATTTTATTTGAGACAATTCAGAAAAAATATCCTGTGACATAATCCCCCAAGTTAGATCTGCAACACGCTAATGTAAAAACTATATTTACTCCAGTGGTTTAAATCATGACTTTAATCTCAGTGGCTCCCGGTATTGAAATGTGACCGCATGGTATAGATTACAGACACTCTCTGCCACAAGGATCATCAGATCCTGCATAGTACAGTGTTGAAGTCACTTTGTACACCAGCACACTGCACAGGGGCTGGAGGGAATCTTTACTCACAGCTGAGAACACTTCAAATGTGTGTTTGGGGCCTTGGGAAGTTCGAACTCCAGTTTCATAGGAGAAGAAACAAGTAACACTGCTGAAACAGCACTATGGAAATTAGTTTGTCATCTGTTCGTTCGTTTAACAATGTGATGATAGAAAACACACACAGCCTATTAATTATTATTCCTCTTGCTGACTATCAGATTGAATGCCACAGAAGGGAAAAGAAAGATTAAAACGAGGATGGAGGGAGATAACCACCTGTAGCTGGGCAGTCCCAGTGTGAATACCCTGAACACCACAGTTTGTGTCCCAAAATGGAGCAGTAACCCTGCTGTCAGAGTCGATGGGGCCCCTTGAGAGCCAGCAGCATAAGCTGCTTCCCAGCAGGATGCTTTAGTCCATCCCCAGCACACAGGTTTCAAATATCCTCAAAACATACTTGAGAGTAAAAGCTGCCTCTTGCTGTCCTGGCAGGTGGCATTTCCAGCCATACTGCTGTGCCATCACACCTTGCTGTGCACATCTCCACTCAACGTCCTACTCGTTGAACTCATTTCCGTCAGGACATAGGAAGGAGTTGCTGTTCCCTCTCCACTACATTTCACACCCTGAAACAACCATTTTTAAAATAGTAATGAAAACATTCAGATAACTGCAGTCTAACAGATACTGGCTTACAAACTGGAAAGGACACACCAAATAAACAGGCAGCCAATGCAAGCTACCTCTAAAAGCAGAAGGTGAGTCTTCCTGTCTCTTTCTCTGCATGCACACATGCACATTTGATTTAAACTTGAAATTGCACCTTGCATTCCCTGGGCTATGTAGAGAGTCATCCTGCCTGGCAGCATCTGGGGGCAGCTGTGGGGAGCCCTGCAGCCAGCAGCATAGGTGAGGAATAAGCCTGTCTCCCCTCTGCAGCAGGCAGGCGTTGGCAGGGCCTCAGCTGCAGGATTGGAAATTTCCGTAGGCAAGACAAGATTTGGCTTGTTCTGCAGCACACTCTGCTTCCAGCCTCCTGCAGGCCAGGGCTTTCCTTCACACCCTGAGCACCATGATTTTTGTGCCCTACAGCATGGGATGAGGGGGAAGCCTCAGGTAATAAGGGGTGAGGAAACTCCCTGACAGCACTTAACGTATTTTGGAGAGCAGATAAATTCAGCAAGGCACCCATGAGTGGCAGCAGGAGGCTCAGGTCCCTGCTGGGATCTTTGCAGGCAGCTTGTGAAAAATTATTTCTACTAAAGCTACTTCCATGTAAAAGCTCTTCCCAGTGTACCAGGGATTTGCTAGGATGGGCAAGTTCTCCGAGGGATGTTTCAAACTGGATGTTTTAATGCACGAACTACAGGTGTATGGAAGGATTTTTACATCTCCCTAGGCAGTCTGACACAGAAATGGTATCATCTTGCCACTTATTGAAGTTTCAAGATAATTCTCTGAGCAAAATAACATTTTAAAAGGTTTTTCTTTTTTTTATATGTCTAATTTTTATACGTACCTTGGCCATTTTAGCTGAAAAATTTCTTTCCAAATTAGCCTAAAGTAATGAGCAGGAAATTCAGCCAAGTTATTAATTCCCAACTTTTTCTCTTTACAGATACCTTCATGGCACGATCCTCCTCAGTCCATCTTTGAAGCCCAGCTCCTCCTCTTCCCTGTCTCTGCTGTGTTTCCTGTTCCCTCTTCCTCAGTTCCAGCCACTACAATTTTAGCAGACCCAGACCCACCAGCTCAGCAATGCTTCCTTGCACAGGGACATCATGGTGTTCCCCATCCCTGACAGTGCCTCTCACCAGCTGGGGACTCACCTGTGACCAGATCCGGGAGTGGGACCATTTCCTTCTGGCTCAGCAGCCAGCTGAGGACATACCCATACTATGACTGTAGGTTGTGACAAACACTCGTCAATACTTGTGAAAAGCTCATGATACAACACAGTTAATACAAAGTATGTGTATTCAAAGCTCCTACCCCCTCAAATATCTCAGTTTCAGTCTTGCCTGACTTTTTACAAGCTGCAATAAATCCCATAAAGCTTCTACCCAATGCCATTCAAAGTACTAACTAAAATGTTTGAATGTATTAATGCTTCTCACAGAAATGTATTATTTTATTCTCTATACAGAACTGTTTTAATTGTAAAGTGATAGCTGAAGTGAAAAGTCAGCGTGTTTCAGTAGCACCTCACAAGTTAACAGCATTTGGCTGTCACCACACCACTAAGAGGAAATGTAGTAACAAAAGTCTTTGTTTTGAAAGAGACATGCAAAGTATTCCCCGACAAATATTGCTACATTAAATTTCCCTTGTTTGGCCCGACAAGCATCAGGACGGATGGTAGCTTTTCCCAGCACTGTTACTAATGTATCAGGACAGGATGCTACAAGGATACAAGATAAAAGTGCGGTTCAGACAACTGGAGACAAGGGATTGCAGAAAACTCAGCTCTTTAAAGAATGAAACTATACTTTAAACAAATCAGGTGACTAACTACTTTGAATATTTCTGCTGGTTAAAGCTGCTGCCACTTGGAGTAAAATTAACCTCTAACCTTCTTTAACTGTTGATGTATTACCGTGTCTAGCTGCTACTGTGATACTATCCATTAAGCAGCGCAGAAATAAGTATTTCTAGTCCAGTACTTTCTGTCCCGAGTTCAAAATCTGGAAGAAATGTTTTGTCCCACAAAATTATTTAAGAAGTTTAGAAAAAATAAAAACCCTTTTTGTGTGCAGGGGAGAACATTGCTGATGAACCCTCAGAGTTTCCAACCTTCCACATGGTCCACACTCCAGCTGGTGGCTGGGGGGACGTTGCCAACGGCCAGGCATGCTGTGCTGCCTCCTGGGCAGCGTGTCAGCTGAAGGAGGAGAAATACTACCAGCAAGACAGCGAGGAGAGGAGGATTCTCTCACTCCTTGTCAGGGATCCTCAGCCTAACCCACACCTGTCAGAGCACAGAGTGCCTGTCTTGGTTCCTCTTCTGTACCCAACTGCTGAGTTTTGCAAGAGTTGAAGAAATTGAATTATTTTTGAGACTTCTCATCCTCTCTCAGATTTGGACAAAACTGACTACACATCTCAAAACTGGGGGGGAGGCCTGACCAGCAGAGACCATGGTCACATAGGCTCTAGATGCTTTGAAGGCTGGGCAAAAGGAAAATCTACATGTGTCAAGACTAAAAATCTTAAGTCAGTACCATAAATCACATCTTAGCGCTTCTGATGGATTTTATCTTCCATTTTCTTCTGCAACTAAAATCACTGCAGAGCATCCACATATTTCAGCAGAATAAATTTAATTTTTTCCTCTCTTTTTAAGCCTATTTGTAAGCAATCAAGAAAGAAATCAATTAAAGTCTAGAGATTAAAACAGAAGTTTCTTGACAACTGAACTATCAGACTTCAAGTAACCTAATCCCGGAGACTTTTTTACTCAATCTCTAAACCTTCTGGGGACTTTGGACAAAAATTGCAACAACTACAGTAGTAAATTGCTGAGTGATGGTTCAGCAACTGAAGCCTTGCCTTGCAGAGGGGAGCCAGAGTGGTGCTATTGCTGACAGGCAGAAAGAAAAAAAAGTGTAACCTCACCCCTGTCAGATGAAAGCCTATAGCACCCAAAGCTGAAGAATGCTCTGTTTAACACTAGGAAGCAGCTTTTCTAATGTAAAATAGAGCCACTTTAGTCTCTGTAAGGGAAGTGAAGCCAGGAGATAACTGGTGAAGTCACCAAAGGAAAAAATGATCAGTTCAAAATATAGGGAAGTTACAGAGAAGCAGCCAATGCTCAGGCTGCTGCAGCACCAAGTTGCCACGTTCTGCATCCAACCTGCACTCCCTCACTCCATCGCTCTCCTTGCTCTGAGGCCTGGGAGGATTTCTTCAGGCTGGCTTGTCAGCTTGTTCCAGGGTAGCAATCTCTTCTCTGCTATGAGTTGTGATGACTTCATCGACGCTGGGAAACTGCAGATATTGGCAAAGGTTGCTGAAGGTACAGTTTTTCAGACGCTGCCCTACTGATGTGCCTGCTGCCTCCCCTCCCCTGAGCAGGGGAGGGTTGAGTGGGTACCAGTGCTGCATCCTGGCCATGCTCAGCCTGCAGCCATTCACTGCTTCCCAACAGAAAACACCACCAGGCAATTTTAAATCCCTCTTGCACTACCAGCCCTTGCTTCTTCCAAAAAATTGAGCAGTCTGCATCTTGTGGCCGCTCCTTTCCAAGCCCCCCCAGATAACTCAAGCTAAAGGCATGACGTGCCGGTCAGCCAGGCTGTCTTCTCCTCGGCACAGTGCGGAAATCCAGCATGGACCTGCCTCCAGAAAGCAAGACGTGGGAGAAAGAACTGGGAACCATGTAAATTCTGCAGCCTAACAAACCCAGCACCAGGCTGGGTCTGTGGGTTATGTATCTAGGCCAGTACACCCTCTGGCAAATCACATCTCTGCTCACTCCTGATTTATCTTCTGCTCTCTGCATCAGAAGCTCTTCAGGGCAAAAAGCCTTCCTGCAGCCCTCCCTAATGATGATGTGGACCCAATGGTCAGTGATAAGTCACAGCTACAAATCCCATCCCACCCAACACCACGGCTCCTTTTAGCCTGTGAGTTCCTCCAAGTAGCCTGTTTTCTGCTCTTTTCTGCTATAAGGGATCATGCTCTGGCAGCTTACTTCCCAAGGTCAGCCACTGCAGGTTGCATGGCAGCCTGCCTTGGCACATAGGCATTGCTGGAAACACGTGCCCAGGAGCTGAGGAGGGCACTGGCAGCTCAGAGATCAGCTATAACCAACCCACTCTTCAGTGTGGACCTGTGTGATGTCTCGACCATGGGACTAGAGCAACAGAATAAAAATCACCCTCTGTGACCAGCAAAGCAGCTGCACACACAGCTATAGTCAGAAACAACTTTTGGTTGAGCATCATGCTGGATCCAATAAGCACTGTCTGTCAGGATGATCCCCTGTGACTTGAAGACTCTACTCTGAGTCTTGCTCAGCCAGCAAAACCTCCTGTGTGTACAGAACAAAGTTTTTGTTTCTGCTGTGAAATCTAAATCAAACAATGGGGGCCATGGAACAGACCTCCTTGCTCCACATTCTGATTAAAATTCTTCAATACAGTTTTTACTTTCTTTACTTCAAACAAGGCCTCCTAGCTCCCCCAAGATGTGCCTCTCCAGTATGAGCCACCAAAGACCTGCCAGCTTCAAGGGAGTTTGTAATAACTCCACAAAGCTGTACTGAATGCTACACAGAAGAAGAATGAGGTAAATTAAATAGGGCAACAGGGGAGAAAACACTCTCGTGGCCAACTGCTGCTGAGCCCCTCTGTAACCCTCACCAGTCACTCTCAGGTGTGCCAAGAAGAGATGATACCTGCAAGATCTCAGCAGAAGTTACGCACAGGGAGGACAGGCCAGGGAGCTCCAATTTAAACAAACGTTCCAGGTTGCTATGGAAACCTCAAGGATGGAAAAGAAGCACCTTGAAAACAAAACATAGTGAGGCAGCTTTCATATCCACTCTGAAAAGGTTTATGACCAGAAAAGGCAAAGTGGGTGTTAAATGCCTTTTAGCTATGGCAATAGTAGCAGCACTTGAGGAGGAGGCGTTACAGATTTGCAGCAGCCATCATACGCACATTCTTCTATCCCAAACCCCAGAAAAACAGTCCTCTCTACTTTGCCAATACTACTGTATGAAAATTCTGATTTCTTAACCCCTTCCTGGCACCCTGTCTCCTTCCACATTACTGTTCTAGCTATATATTACTATATGTAGCTATACTAAGCCCAACGTGACAAGTGGAAAATATACAGCTAGAATTAATCTGACACAGAAGGAATAAAACTATCTGCAACTTTAAAGTTAATCAAGACTGAAAATCTTAGAGTTCTTTTCACCAAAAAAAAAAAAAAAAGAAACACGGGGCAGAGAAATGACAGAACTTTGTTATTGATTTTAAATGGTGTGTACTCAGATCAACCCAGTGTGGCCCAACAGTGCAGTATTCAGTCAGACACACTCCAACCTCATCAAAAGTTTGTGCTGGAACGAGTTGTGGGTTTTTTCAGAACAGCTCCATCCTGCATGTTCCCTCATGGAGGCAGGCCACCATCCATCCTTACCAAAGACAGCTTCCATTCGTCCTCTCCTTCCCATCAATTCCTAGGGCCATTTTGGAAAAGGTCATGGCTGTTTTGGAAAAGGGAATCTTAACTGGGGTTACTAGTAGACTCCCCTCTGCTTGAAAGCCACAGACAATGAACAGTTCAAAGGAATGCAGTTTTTGAGCTTTTCTTGGAAGAGACACACAGACTCTGCTGAAATCTTTAAGGTCCCTTCCGACCCAAAACATTCTATGTTTCTAAGAAACAGGAAAAGAGTAAGCTCACAGTTTATATCTTCTACACAAAAAAATAATCACACCTGCAGCAGGGAGCATATGAGATGTAACTAAATAGGAACAAATGACAATGAAAGGGAGAGGGGAGAGGAAAATGCTCCAAAAGGTAGTTTGTGAGACACAGGAATACAAGGAATATGGAAAATAAAATTCAGAGGTGCTCTGTAGGCAAAGCAGCTCTTAGTATCACTGCAGTCCCTCACATGAACAGAGTCTGGTAATAACAGCAAAAACAAAACCCCCGAAGCAACTTCCCTGCCCTCAAATCCTCCATATGTATAAACTACATATTTTACTTTAACTTAATGTATTCTGAGTTTAAATCATTTTTCTAAAACTTTCTGGCTGAGAATATTGTACTGCGAAAACAGTCCTGGGAAGGAAGAAAGGAAACTTTATAACTGGAAAATAAGTCTTGGGTGGCATTTTCAGAAATATTGTTTTCAAATCCATGTTACTAGGGGAAAGGTTCCTCCACCTATCTTTAAGTTAAAGAATGGAACCTAACTGAGTATTCAGCATTCTAAATATGCTGCCCTCTGCACCTGACTCCAACAGCAGAAACTGCTGAACAGTACACAAGAAATGTTCATGTTGCCCTGTTCTCTAGTGAAAAATCTTTAGGTACTGTGGGAACACCACCAGGCTCAAGACTTCTCAAATCTCACTTTTGCACACATACATTTTGAAAATTGCAAGAGTGTCTCAGCATTCAGGAACAAATTTCTACCTACAGGAAAAACATCCCTGCAGAAAGACCTCCTGAGGAGATGTGGGCTGGAATCTCCTCTGCTCAAAGCCATTTCCTGCTGTTCTGGCAGGCAGGATGTTGCAATCTGCTACCACCTGGCTAGGTGACTTTTTTAGGGAGGAGGTGGGGGGAGGAAGGAAGGACCCACAAGTTCCCAGCTGACAAAGAAACCTGACCTCTAGGCCAACTGTTCCCCTTGCAGCCAGGACACTCAGGACACCGGGAGGAATGATGCTGTATGCCTTCTCCCCACTGTCAACCAGATTTGGATACAGCACACTTGACACATGAGAGAGAGCAGAACATAGCAGACTCCAGCAACAAAAAGGTATCACGGAACAGAGCTCTGGGGGATAAAGCATTTATCTTATAAATCATTTTATTGTTGGGAAGGAAAACTTGGTCTTCTCCCAGATCAAAGGAAGTAAAGAAACTAAACTATAATTTGCAAACATTACAAACTGAAACCAAGAAAGGAAGTGAAAACCTGCTCTTCCACACCAGCATCAGCCTCCAGGGCCTACCATTAGTTATGTGCCATAGATTCATCGAATTCAAATGAGTTGCAATTTCCATAGGCTGAGGTCGGGGGGGGAGGGGGTTAAGAGTTTCCGACTTGTCCCTATCTCCTACGCTCTCTTCAATCATGACAGCTCTTAACACAGTGAAAATAAATGTGGCCTCTATGAACTGATAAAGGCTAAAGTGTTGCCTTCTCAGAATACCTGGAGAAATTAGCACTGTCCCTTGGTTAAGGAAAAACACTCTCTGACAGGACTGCCAAACCTGGACACACTTACAGGGATGTGCACAAAGCTCCAGTGACCCAATGAAAGTAAATGTGGAAGCAAGTGTCTGCTTCCTTCAACAGTGGTTCCCAGAAGATACATCACAGAACCTAGATCTTAGATTAAAATTCAAGGAATTAACATTACATATACTCCAAAAGCATATTTCTGAACAAACTCAGATGAAAGTGAAGACATCATTAGATAACAGAGCAAGTTGTCTAATAACATTCATTCATTTTAGAAGATTAATGTATGGTGTAGAAGGTATCATACAGAAAATTATTCTAGAAAATGATTCTGCCCAATTTCAGATCACAGAGACTGAAATGGCTCAACAGTCTGTCCTTTAGGTCATCAATAACGTTAAAACATAGGCATAACTGAGTATTTATAACTTGACTGCTCTCATCAAGTAAGAATTTAAACCCCAGCAAATGCCGGCTAAAAAAAGACAGATATTTTATAAACACCAGCTTATTCTTACCCTAAAGAGGTACATTAACTTGCTTAACAAAGCTAACATGTTACAAGGCATGGAGTATTTACCTGTGCTTAGATCCTACTTCAGGCACAGTGAAGACAGACCAAACCTATGTTTTAATCCTGTACGGTGGACACCTTCTATCTGCAGTGAGAACTTAATCATGTAGGCAGCACACCTGACTTAACATCCAGACTGCAGTCACCAGCTCACTGCTTCCCACTGCCAGGTGAGTTGTACCTGATGAAGGCAAACTTGAAGAATTCCATCAAGTCAACCTAGAATCAGGCCTGAGGCGCTGACTGCTGATCTGTAACAGCAGAGGTTCAAGAGATAACCCTCCAAGTAATATTTTTTAATGCAACATGCATTGACCTAGAAGCAGTAGCACCAGTGTGAGTATTGTGCCTGGTGCTACTACACTCTACTTAGTGTAGATTTGCAATAATTTAGTTCCAAATATTTGGACCAATTCTTCTGGTATCAAATCTGGCAGCACAAGCCTAATTTTTAGAGATGATGACATTTTCTCTCCCACCTGAAACCAATGGAAGCCACAACTCAGTCATGCTAAAAACAAAAAATAAACCAAGAATTTATTAGCAAATTCTGCAAGTAATTTTTTTCCCATCTCTTTGTGTCTATTTTCCCGCCTGAGACACAGAGGTAACAGTTTTAAGCCAGCAGGGATGGAGGACTGCTAATACTCAAGCCATGGGCAGTTCCAACCTGAGTGATAAGGCTCATGGCCAAGGTCTCTCTGTCACTTGCCTTTGCTTTGTCTTCTCTAAATGGATAAACAGGATAAAGTCTGACCACAGAGTGCGTGGCAAAAAAGAGCCTTGGCCCTCTGTTCTAGGAGACACTGGTATAATTCAAGTAGTTGTTTAAATTATGAAACTGCTTAATTGGAAAAGACTCTGCAACCTAAACAGCAATGCACTGCCTCTTGATGAAATGACTAATACTTTGAGAACATCACCAAGTGCAGCTTTATCATTGCTGTACACACACAGAGATGGCTTTACATCAAAGAAACCCATCTTGTCATTACCTCAAAGATCACTTCTTAAGGGTAAAGGAGAGTCAAGACAAGAGGCAAAACTATCTGCTCACTGAATCTTTCTGCTCCAGATGGGACCTCTCAAATTTTTCACGTGCTTTGTGTTCTTTTAAGAACAATCATTGTTGTTTCACAAACTTAAAGCCTGCAATTCAATACTATGTAACAGCATATAATTTCTGTCCATGTAACACAGGCAGCTTTTTGATTGCCGAAGATCTTCATAATAGCGACTCTTTTCCTCATCATGTATTTCATGGAACTCTGTTCCTGTAAGGCTTCTTTTAAATCTGTGGCAATCTGAGGGTCTGGATCTGCTGTGGATGTATACCCAACGATGTCCAAGTGACTCTTCACTCCCAAACTCCATCAGATTCTGGATAAATGATCCTAAAGGTCAAGTTTATCCGTGCATCTCTAGAATGATATTCCTTAGGCACTCGATGCTGTAAGTGGCATTAGGGAAAAAAAAACCCAAGAAAAAAAAAAGCATGACCTTGTGCATTTAAAATACAGGTAATCAAACAACGAATAAAACCTTCATTTCCTGTGATGGTTTTTTATTCACATTTCTAAACATTTAGGTAAGGCAAAAAAATCAGGTTCTGACTGCTCAGAGCCACTGAAAACAAAAGGTCTTTGTATATTACTGTAGACTTCTTAAATTAAGCTACAACACTTTGATATCCCATCTTCCTATATTGATTTTGCTCTTTCCAGTGCAGTCTGCAACCTTCATTACTGAACTTTAATGCTGGAAAATCTGAGCTGATTCCTATTGCATCACTTAGCACTTGAAAGAAAATCCATTGTTTCTTTGGCTGCTTTCAAATTCTGAGGCAGAAAGCAGTACTGATGCCCTGGAAAACAACTGTGTCACTGGAAGCAGAATGTCCCATAACTTCATGGGAGTGTCCTGGGCATATTTGAAAAACTGCACTGCAAGTAAACCACACAAACAGCATGAGGGAGTTCTTACCTGCCAATCCGCCTGGGTAGCTCCTTCCATCATCAAGAGAGTCCCGTGATCAAGGGGGATTTTTAGTCTTTCTACATAAGTATAGTCTCCATTCTCTTCCTAAAAAGAAACATTAGACACTGAAGAAGCGGGTACGTGCATCTGGTAGAAAACCAGTCCTCTACAGCAGAGCTTTAAAAGCTGTAAGGGGGGAGGAGGAAACTCTTA